CTTCCTGTCACAGAAACTTTGGTTCTTGGTGCATCGTGGTCACTTCCTGTCACAGAAACTTTGGTTCTTGGTGCATCGTGGTCACTTCCTGTCACAGAAACTTTGGTTCTTGGTGCATCGTGGTCACTTCCTGTCAGACCTTCTGTTCCTGTCTGTGGTGGATTCTCCTGGTTCTTCTTCCATGATTGAAACATAAAGGATGGTGAGATCAGAAAGTGTTTGGAGCTCAGCTTCAATGGCTTTGGACAGTTTCCTTGTCTTGTTCTGTCTGATCGGCCTGGGGTCGCATGTCCTCTTGCGTCCATGCCCTGGGAGGTTGTCTACAACAGGACATGAACTTGTACTTGTTATAATCTGGTCAGCTGTGTTCAGAGGAACATGATGATGCTTGAAGATGGTTTCTGAGTCTTTATGTTTCACATGGATGGATTTATGATCTCCTCTGTGAGCTCCTCACATGTTCAGAGTGCTGAACACAACCACCAAACTGCCCTGTGTGTCTGATGGTGTACAGTACGGGGTCATAACTTTTGTTCAAAATAAAAAAAAATTGAAACTGAAAAACAATGCATTACAATCTGGAAAGGTTTCAAACATCTTGTCTTTTCAGTTTCAATTTTTTTTCCAGTTTCAAAATTATTTTTCATTTTTCAAATCTCCTTTTTTCATTTTCGATTTTTTTTTTTGAACAAAATTATGACCCCAGTGTAGCTCCATAATGGTGACCCTGAAGGCTGCTGTCATATTAAAGTCAGTTTATTAATTTGAAACATGGCAAGAATGGTCTGTTTAAAGACTAACACATCTGTCTGTAGTATTTTAATACACTGCAGTAAAAAACACAAGTATTTCCACTCATTTCACCACATCTGGAGGATACAGATGTGCATCACACCACTGCTTTAAACTGAATCAGTTTCAGAGCAGTGGATCTGTGGTTGGATGTCTCCCAGCTGGGGTCTTTCTGGGTGCTTTACATTCTCCCTGTGCACATGTGGGTTTTCTCACACAGATAAAAACGTGCCTGTTAGGTTTGTTGGTAACTATAAATAAACAGGCCTTACATGTGGGTGTGAATGGTTGTCTGTGTGTGCCTGTGGTGGACATGGACCCCCGTCCAGGTGTCCCCACCCCCGACTGCTGGAGATGAGCACCAGCCCCCTGACCAAGAGAGAAGAAGTGGGTAAAGAAGACTTTAAGAMAAATAAAGTGTTTTAATGAGCTGTAAGGGTGCCAACTAGTTTGTCCATGTCTGTAAATAAAGCATCAATTAAAAAACTATAAACTTATGAAAATGATTTAAAGAAAACGTGACTTAAACTCAGGGTTTGAGTGAAAAACTTAAACTCAGTGTTTGAGTGAAAATGAAGCAGATCTTTTCTCTGTTTCACTTCTTGGATCAACAGATAAATGTTTGTTTTCTTTGTTTAACAGATGATGTAACTGAATCAGTCTCATCACTGCTGCACTTTATACTTGTACCAAACTTTGGGGAAATTATGCAAAATCAAACGTTAAATGGTCACAAACTGAAGGGAATGTTATTTTGAATTGTTTCTGTCCTGTTCTCACAAAATGAGGACAAAATAAAAAGGTTTTTGAGAAAATTCGAACATTGTAATTGTGTCTGTTAAATATTTTTGAACCACTGGATGATTTTTAATGAAACGTAAAGATTTACATAAAGTACAGTGGATGAACACAAGTTTGAGTTTAAATAGTTTTTGTGTTTGAGACTGTTTTATTTTGAAAAGATCAGAAATGAAATGTCTCCAGGTCTCTAACGGGGGGTGAATGTCCTGACAGGGAGGGTCCTGCAGGGGTCTGTGAGGGTGAACGTCCTGACAGTGAGGGTCCTGCAGGGGTCTGTGAGGGTGAACGTC